GCCTTGACATCACTATCACAGGTATTGTGAGTTAGCCTTGACATCACTATCACTGGTATTGTGAGTTAGCCTTGACATGGTACTTACCAAACACCGTCAGTATAGACGGATGAGTTAGTGGACACCATATTCCATTTTGAGATTGTTATGAGTAAGATAGGCAGCTTACCTTCACTGTCAGATGACGGTAAGTTCACTGTCTATGGTGTTAGTGAAACTAAAAATGAACTACGCTGCACTGCTTTCTTAAACTGTCGCAAGTAATCAGTGTCAGGACTCTGCAAGAATATGTCATCAAAGAAGCTAATGTAGACGTCAGGTTTAAGTTCATATATATATATATATATATATATATATATATTTTATTAAATATGACCGAAAAAGTAAGATTAATAATTCTAACACGAATTTCTCAATCTTTCGTACATTATGCTTCACTGTTGGAGGTAAATCAAAAATCACTTCTCCAAAATTCATTTTTATTTCTAGTCTGACGCGACACGGGCGCGTTTCGTAAAACTTATTACATTTTCAAAGACTTCACAAATACACAACTGATTAGAACTTGCATTTCCCTGATTTTATATCTACTTTTGAGTGAGGTGGGAAGGGTGATGTGGCATTACATTTGAGTGAGGTGGGAAGGATGATGTGGCATTAGAGGATATTAATAGGGTATTAAAAGTATCAACACAAGACAGAACACGAAACAATGGATATTGAATAGAAGTGTTTGTAGAAAGCCTATTGGTCCATATTTCTTGATGCTTCTATATTGGAGCGGAGTCTTGAGGTGGGTAGAATATAGTTGTGCAATAATTGGCTGTTGATTGCTGGTGTTGACTTCTTGATGTGTAGTGCCTCGCAAACGTCAAGCCGCCTGCTATCGCTGTATCTATCGATGATTTCTGTGTTGTTTACTAGGATTTCTCTGGCGATGGTTTGGTTATGGGAAGAGATTATATGTTCCTTAATGGAGCCCTGTTGTTTATGCATCGTTAAACGCCTAGAAAGAGATGTTGTTGTCTTGCCTATATACTGGGTTTTTTGGAGCTTACAGTCCCCAAGTGGGCATTTGAAGGCATAGACGACGTTAGTCTCTTTTAAAGCGTTCTGTTTCGTGTCTGGAGAGTTTCTCATGAGTAGGCTGGCCGTTTTTCTGGTTTTATAGTAAATCGTCAGTTGTATCCTCTGATTTTTGTCTGTAGGGATAACGTTTCTATTAACAATATCTTTCAGGACCCTTTCCTCTGTTTTATGAGCTGTGGAAAAGAAGTTCCTGTAAAATAGTCTAATAGGGGGTATAGGTGTTGTGTTAGTTGTCTCTTCAGAGGTTGCATGGCTTTTCACTTTCCTTCTTATGATGTCATCATAAGAAGGAAAGTGAAAAGCCATGCAACCTCTGAAGAGACAACTAACACAACACCTATACCCCCTATTAGACTATTTTACAGGAACTTCTTTTCCACAGCTCATAAAACAGAGGAAAGGGTCCTGAAAGATATTGTTAATAGAAACGTTATCCCTACAGACAAAAATCAGAGGATACAACTGACGATTTACTATAAAACCAGAAAAACGGCCAGCCTACTCATGAGAAACTCTCCAGACACGAAACAGAACGCTTTAAAAGAGACTAACGTCGTCTATGCCTTCAAATGCCCACTTGGGGACTGTAAGCTCCAAAAAACCCAGTATATAGGCAAGACAACAACATCTCTTTCTAGGCGTTTAACGATGCATAAACAACAGGGCTCCATTAAGGAACATATAATCTCTTCCCATAACCAAACCATCGCCAGAGAAATCCTAGTAAACAACACAGAAATCATCGATAGATACAGCGATAGCAGGCGGCTTGACGTTTGCGAGGCACTACACATCAAGAAGTCAACACCAGCAATCAACAGCCAATTATTGCACAACTATATTCTACCCACCTCAAGACTCCGCTCCAATATAGAAGCATCAAGAAATATGGACCAATAGGCTTTCTACAAACACTTCTATTCAATATCCATTGTTTCGTGTTCTGTCTTGTGTTGATACTTTTAATACCCTATTAATATCCTCTAATGCCACATCATCCTTCCCACCTCACTCAAATGTAATGCCACATCACCCTTCCCACCTCACTCAAAAGTAGATATAAAATCAGGGAAATGCAAGTTCTAATCAGTTGTGTATTTGTGAAGTCTTTGAAAATGTAATAAGTTTTACGAAACGCGCCCGTGTCGCGTCAGACTAGAAATAAAAATGAATTTTGGAGAAGTGATTTTTGATTTACCTCCAACAGTGAAGCATAATGTACGAAAGATTGAGAAAATTCGTGTTAGAATTATTAATCTTACTTTTTCGGTCATATTTAATAAAATATGTCTACAGGAAAGACTGCTACCAAAATATACTAATATATATATATATATATATATATATATATATATATATATATATATATATATATATATATATATATATATATATATATATATATATATATATATATATATATATATATTTATATTATATATAATCATACATTTATACTGTGTGTGTGTGTGTGTGTGTGTGTGTGTGTGTGTGTGTGTGTGTGTGTGTGTGTGTGTGTGTGTGTGTGTGTGTGTGTGTGTGTGTGTGTATACTGTGTGTGTGTGTGTATACTGTGTGTGTGTGTGTGTGTGTGTGTGTGTGTGTGTGTATACTGTGTGTGTGTGTATACTGTGTGTGTGTATGTGTGTGTATACTGTGTGTGTGTGTGTATACTGTGTGTGTGTGTGTGTGTGTGTGTGTGTGTGTGTGTGTGTGTGTGTGTGTGTGTGTGTGTGTGTGTGTGTGTGTATACTGTGTGTGTGTGTGTATACTGTGTGTGTGTGTGTATACTGTGTGTGTGTGTGTATACTGTGTGTGTGTGTGTGTGTGTGTGTGTGTGTGTGTGTGTGTGTGTGTGTGTGTGTGTGTGTGTGTGTGTGTGTATACTGTGTGTGTGTGTGTGTGTGTGTGTGTGTGTGTGTGTGTGTGTGTGTGTGTGTGTGTGTGTGTGTGTAAATAAATATCTACCTGAACCCTACGATAATGAAGATAATTTTTTAAAGCAAAAATGTAAACTAGCATAATTTTTCGGCAAATGTTATATAACAGAAGGTCTTCATCATTTTTGTTGGGCGTGAAAAAACTCGCATAACTTTTGCTCACAAATTTGTAATTTAAACTCTGTGCAATATTTGTGGCGTTGGCAACCCCCCCCCCCCTGCAGCAGAGTATGATAGACTGCTGTTCACACATTGAACATGTTCACAGCGTAACTTTGAACATATCTCATAGCTTACATTTGGTGGTCTGATACGCGGAATTAATACGGGTTATTCATGCCCGTGCTCCCCCCTCTTGGGTGGCTTAATCTTCATCAATCAATTAGATATGCGGTACTGAGTATGACTAAGTAGTTAACTGCGTGAGATGATCAATTGCGGCTATTCAGGGGGATGAGGGGCTCCAGGGGGGGGGAGGGGATGAGGGATTTGAACCAACGATATAGGTACGCCTTAAACCCATGTTGCAGGTTCGAATCCTCATCACAGCTCCAATTGATAACTACACACCACCTTGCCTACGCTCAGACACAGACCTCATCATACACCACCTTGCCTACGCTCAGACCCAGACCTCACCATACACCACCTTGCCTACGCTCAGACCCAGACCTCACCATACACCACCTTGCCTACACTCAGACCCAGACCTCACCATACACCACCTTGCCTACGCTCAGACCCAGACCTCACCATACACCACCTTGCCTACGCTCAGACCCAGACCTCACCATACACCACCTTGCCTACGCTCAGACCCAGACCTCACCATACACCACCTTGCCTACGCTCAGACCCAGACCTCACCATACACCACCTTGCCTACACTCAGACCCAGACCTCACCATACACCACCTTGCCTACACTCAGACCCAGACCTCACCATACACCACCTTGCCTACACTCAGACCCAGACCTCACCACACAGCATCGGATAACGACATCTCTACCGAATGCCTCCATCCCTTCCCACCCCTCGCTACAGCCTTACCCATTATTTGATTGTCTTCCATCCCCATTATTTCACCTATGAGTGATTACTTCACCTCACCCCAACACAATTTCACCTCCTTCATATGTGTATTGAAGATAAATTTTGCAACTTCGTATATTTATTCCTCATCTGAAGATGTTCCAGAGCGGAACGTACCGTTGTAAAAAATATACCTTTCAGTAATTACTAGAGTTTCTTTACTATGGATTTTGGTAACTTGATTGTCCTTCTTAATATATATATATATATATATATATATATATATTATATATATATATATATATATATATATATATATATATATATATATATATATATATATATATATATATATATATTGAGAGCTCCCACAGGAAATTCAGAATCTTGTAGGGACCCCCAGGGACCATGAAGCCTTCTTAACCTTTGAAATTTGGGATGATAGGCAAGAGTAGTGAAGATTCTCTCTCTCTCTCTCTCTCTCTCTCTCTCTCTCTCTCTCTCTCTCTCTCTCTCTCTCTCTCTCTCTCTCTCTCTCTCTCTCTCTCTCTCTCTCTCTCTACACACTCCCGGATATGGATGCTCGCTGGGGAGGAATATATAACTATTTCCATACTAAAATAAGCAAGTTTCGTTTCCCCTTGAAGCTTTGAAAGTTCTTTTGATGATCGAACTCGCGTCAGAATTAATCAAGATCCTTTATCCTCAGTTGAACTTGTCAGCCGAGCGCTGGCGATGCTTGTGCAGAGTACAGCCTATCAGATGGTGGACACCGTGCCTCAGCCTACAACCTATATATATATATATATATATATATATATATATATATATATATATATATATATATATATATATATATATATATATATATATATATATATATATATACATTACATCCACCAAACCCTTCAATAAAATTCTATTGATCTCCTCCTCAGGTCCACTGACAGAGGTGGAGGCGTTGGAGAAGGACCACGTCCTCCTCCCTTGTGACGTGACTCCACCCATCCCCAATGACGAGACCATCCTCGTCCTCTTCTACAGAGGTTCCATAGGCACCCCCATATACAGGTGAGAGCCAGGTAAATCCTTAAGAGTTATAAAAACCATTCGAACTATGGGTGAGTCCCAGCCTGCACAAAGGTGAGTATCCCCCCCCTCTATACAGGTGAGTATCCCCCCTCTACACAGGTGAGTATCTCCACTCTACACAGGTACGCATCTCTCCTCCCCATACCTCTACACAGGTGAGAATTAACCCACTCACATGTGGGATTTATATACGTGTGAAAATCACATTTCGAACGACTTCCAAGCACATCTGAGAGGCCCATCAGCATATATATTTAACATAGACCTATAAACAGGTGTGGAGTCCCCCCCCCCCTCCCCTGCACATGAACTTTCAGAACACACCTGTGCACCACACTAAATAAAATCCTCTTGCACGTGTGTAGAAATCCCCACGAACACCACATTCTTAGCCAAAGGATTTACTCGAAACTAAATTCAAATAAATGTATTCTCGGGTGTTTTTTTTCACCTTCAGAACATATAACTTTTTAGAAACAATCTTGAAGACGTCTTAAAAAGTTTGCTGGAACATCAATAACTTTAGGACTTGAAGACGTGCTTTCACAGCTGTTTGTTTGACAGAGTTTTTGTGCATAATAAATCCTGAAGTTGAGCAGCTGGAGGGTAGAAGGTGGTGTAGTGGAGGACAGGCAGCTGGTGGTGTAGTGGAGGACAGGCAGCTGGTGGTGGTGGTGTAGTGGAGGACAGGCAGCTGGTGGTGGTGGTGTAGTGGAGGACAGGCAGCTGGTGGTGGTGGTGTAGTGGAGGACAGGCAGCTGGTGGTGGTGTAGTGGAGGACAGACAGCTGGTGGTGGTTGTGTAGTGGAGGACAGGCAGCTGGTGGTGGTGTAGTGGAGGCCAGACAGCTGCTGGTGGTGGTGTAGTGGAGGACAGGCAGCTGGTGGTGTAGTGGAGGACAGGCAGCTGGTGGTGGTGGTGGTGTAGTGGAGGACAGGCAGCTGGTGGTGGTGGTGTAGTGGAGGACAGGCAGCTGGTGGTGTAGTGGAGGACAGGCAGCTGGTGGTGGTGGTGTAGTGGAGGCCAGGCAGCTGGTGGTGGTGTAGTGGAGGACAGGCAGCTGGTGGTGGTGGTGTAGTGGAGGACAGGCAGCTGGTGGTGGTGGTGTAGTGGAGGACAGGCAGCTGGTGGTGGTGGTGTAGTGGAGGACAGGCAGCTGGTGGTGGTGGTGTAGTGGAGGACAGACAGCTGGTGGTGGTGGTGTAGTGGAGGACAGGCAGCTGGTGGTGGTGTAGTGGAGGACAGGCAGCTGGTGGTGTAGTGGAGGACAGGCAGCTGGTGGTGTAGTGGAGTACAGGCAGCTGGTGGTGTAGTGGAGGACATGCAGCTGGTGGTGGTGGTGTAGTGGAGGACAGGCAGCTGGTGGTGGTGTAGTGGAGGACAGACAGCTGGTGGTGGTGGTGTAGTGGAGGACAGACAGCTGGTGGTGGTTGTGTAGTGGAGGACAGGCAGCTGGTGGTGGTGTAGTGGAGGACAGGCAGCTGGTGGTGGTGGTGTAGTGGAGGACAGGCAGCTGGTGGTGGTGGTGTAGTGGAGGACAGGCAGCTGGTGGTGGTGGTGTAGTGGAGGACAGGCAGCTGGTGGTGGTGGTGTAGTGGAGGACAGGCAGCTGGTGGTGGTGGTGTAGTGGAGGACAGGCAGCTGGTGGTGGTGGTGTAGTGGAGGACAGACAGCTGGTGGTGGTGGTGTAGTGGAGGACAGGCAGCTGGTGGTGGTGGTGTAGTGGAGGACAGGCAGCTGGTGGTGGTGGTGTAGTGGAGGACAGGCAGCTGGTGGTGTAGTGGAGGACAGGCAGCTGGTGGTGTAGTGGAGGACAGGCAGCTGGTGGTGGTGGTGTAGTGGAGGACAGGCAGCTGGTGGTGGTGGTGTAGTGGAGGCCAGGCAGCTGGTGGTGTAGTGGAGGACAGGCAGCTGGTGGTGGTGGTGTAGTGGAGGACAGGCAGCTGGTGGTGGTGGTGTAGTGGAGGACAGGCAGCTGGTGGTGGTGTAGTGGAGGCCAGGCAGCTGGTGGTGGTGGTGTAGTGGAGGACAGGCAGCTGGTGGTGGTGTAGTGGAGGCCAGGCAGCTGGTGGTGGTGGTGTAGTGGAGGACAGGCAGCTGGTGGTGTAGTGGAGGACAGGCAGCTGGTGGTGGTGGTGTAGTGGAGGACAGGCAGCTGGTGGTGGTGGTGTAGTGGAGGACAGGCAGCTGGTGGTGTAGTGGAGGACAGGCAGCTGGTGGTGGTGGTGTAGTGGAGGACAGGCAGCTGGTGGTGGTGTAGTGGAGGACAGGCAGCTGGTGGTGGTGGTGTAGTGGAGGACAGGCAGCTGGTGGTGTAGTGGAGGACAGGCAGCTGGTGGTGTAGTGGAGGACAGGCAGCTGGTGGTGGTGGTGTAGTGGAGGACAGGCAGCTGGTGGTGGTGGTGTAGTGGAGGACAGGCAGCTGGTAGTGGTGGTGTAGTGGAGGACAGGCAGCTGGTGGTGTAGTGGAGGACAGGCAGCTGGTGGTGTAGTGGAGGACAGGCAGCTGGTGGTGGTGGTGTAGTGGAGGACAGGCAGCTGGTGGTGGTGGTGTAGTGGAGGACAGGCAGCTGGTGGTGGTGGTGTAGTGGAGGACAGGCAGCTGGTGGTGGTGGTGTAGTGGATGACAGACAGCTGCTCGCATCAGGTATTTTCCCAACCATTTACGAAAGCTGTACATCTTAAATATGGCTGCTTGGTTGACATATATTAAACATCTTATGAACTTCACAATCTCACAACCCAGGGTTATTGTTGTTATAGATAACCTCGAAGCACCTCGGAGTTCACAACCTATTTAATAAGTGTAAGCAAAGCAGCCATGTTTAAGGAAAGATGAAGAGGTTTCGCAAGAGGTTATGTAAATGCTTTAAGATGCCATGAAGCAGTGTACTTTTTGAGAAACTTTTGAGACATTGTACTTTTCCCTTGTACTTTTGAGACATTGTACTTTTCCCTTGTACTTTTGAGACATTGTACTTTTCCCTTGTACTTTTGAGACATTGTACTTTTCCCTTGTACTTCTGAGACATTGTACTTTCCCTTGTACTTTTGAGAAAGTACTTTCTATCATCTCTCTTATAATATTACTATCAAAGACAAAGAGTCAGAGACAGACGGAAATATTGACAATATATATATATATATATATTTGGTTCCTGTGGGTAACATGTTCAACCAGGTTATTGTGACTTGCTTGCTGCATATAGTCCAAATTAGTCTATACTAAGCTATACTTGTTTAGTCAATAGGTAGTGTATACTATAGTCTATACTAAGTTAGGCTCTGCATATAGTCTAAGTTAGTCACTAAAAGATTAGCCAATTGTCAGTTCAGTAAACTCTTAATATTCGTTCATATTTAAGCGTTCCTTAAAACTTTATTATTTGGCTTTACGTCAAAAATGCGTCATTCCTGGCGCTACGTTATATGCTATTGATACGTTGAATTGACGAGATAATGTAAGGTGATTATCTGGAGAAAGCGCAAAGCCAGAGCAATTAAATATATATATATATATATATATATATATATATATATATATATATATATATATATATATATATATATATATATATATATATATATATATATATGTCGTACCTAGTAGCCAGAACGCACTTATCAGCCTACTATGCAAGGCCCGACTTGCCTAATAAGCCAAGTTTTCATGAATTAATGTTTTTTCAACTACCTAACCTACCTAACCTAACCTAACCTAACTTTTTCGGTTACCTAGCCTTACCTAACCTATAAAGATAGGTTAGGTTAGGTTAGGTAGGGTTGGTTAGGTTCGGTCATATATCTACGTTATTTTTATCTCCAATAAAAAAAATTGACCTCATACATTATGAAATGGGTAGCTTTATCATTTTATAAGAAAAAAATTAGAGAAAATATATTAATTCAGGAAACTTGGCTTATTAGGCAAATCGGGCGTTGCAAAGTAGGCTGAGAAGTGCGTTCTGGCTACTAGGTACGACATATATATATATATATATATATATATATATATATATATATATATATATATATATATATATATATATATATATATTGGGTAATATAACAAGGAATGTTATACAAGGCGATATAACAAGGGATGTGTATTCAGGGTAATATAATGGAGGTTGTTATATACGGGTGATATAATGTAGGTTGTTATATAGGGGTGATATAACGAAGGTTGTTATACAGGATAATGCAACAAGCGATGTTATACAACGTGATAAAAACAACGGTTGTGATATCAAGTAGTTATCACACATGATAACATATCAAGGGATATTGTACAGGCTGGTACAACCCACCAGGGGTTGTACCAACGGTTGATTGATAAAGATTAAGCCACCCAAGAGGAGGCACGGGCATGAATAGCCCCCTAAAGCAAGGTTGTTATTGTTGTTTAAGATTCAGCTACTAAGAACAAACAGTTCTAAGTAGCACGGGCTATAGTGAGCCCCGTAGAGGACTTACCTGGCACAGGAGCGGGGCTGTGCTAAAGCAAGGTTGTTATTGTTTGAGATTTAGCTACTCAGCACGAAGTGTCCATGTAGCACGGGCTATGGCGAGCCCGTAAAGCAAGGGTTAGTACACAGTTATATAACCGTGCCTCCATCTCTCTCCCCCTCCTCCTTCCTATCCTTCTGCAGCGACGGGAGACATCTCCCGTCACGCAGGGTGCAGTCGCACCTCCACAGATCTCCAGAATCAGCTCTTGATACTGGTAATGGCTCAAAAGGGCCACCACTTACGGGCTATTCATGCCCGTGCCACCTTTTGGGTGGCTTAATCTTTATCAATCAATCAATCTTCTGCAGCATCGACGGACGCAACGGACCCGTGCGTCACGCAACCCATTGGGTAGACCAACGCGCCCTGGGCTCCAGGGGCTACTTCGACCTGTCATCGCGACCCCCAGGGCTCGTCCTTCGACCCCTGACGTACTCAGACCAGGACGAGTACCGCTGCAGGGTCGACTTCAGGTCCTCTCCCACCAGGAACGTCAGGGTCAACCTCAGGGTTATAGGTAGGTATTCGATCCCCTACTTCATCTTTTCCAAAACCAGTATTTACCCAGGTCTTTCGTGTATATATACTTATTCTGGTTATGTTCATTGTTTCGTGATGTATTTTGTGTTAATATAGTTAATATATATGTCATAAGAAACAGATGAGATGCTCACAAATTATCAGATTGCAAAAGCGGATTCCATTCAGGATTTCAAAAGTAGGTTGAGAGTCAATGGATTCGATCCTACAGATGCAAATAGCTGCACACACACACACACACACACACACACACACACACACACACACACACACACACACACACACACACACACACACACACAGAGTGTGTGTGTGTGTGTGTCTACTACTCTACTCCCGTGAGAGTAGTAGAAAAATGGAATGCACTTGGGGAACAGGTTGTGGAAGCAAATACTATTCATACTTTTAAAACTAGGTATGATAGGGAAATGGGACAGGCGTCATTGCTGTAAACAACCGATAGCTAGAAAGGCGGGATCCAAGAGTCAATGCTCGATCCTGCAAGCACATATAGGTGAGTACATATAGGTGAGTACACACACACACACTTTCAAATGTAGATATGATAGAACCCAATAGGCTCAGGAATCTGTACACCAATTGATTAACGGTTGAGAGGCGGGAGCAAAGAGCCAAAGCTCAACCCCCGCAAGCACAACTAGGTGAACACACCCCAGCCTGACTGTCCCAACCTCAAGACATCAATTGTCTCTATTAAAGGCGACAATTAGAAGTTTAAAAGTTCTGCAACAGACTTTGCAAAGGCTTCATAAAGGAATTATCTCTCGCCCAAGTTTATATTGCCTCCAGGAAAATTGTTACCAAAGTTCATGGCCAGATTTTTCACTTCTTTGTGGCAGAGATTTTTGACAGCGTAGCCGGAGCCGGCTGGTGGGATGAGCCCAGATGGTCCTAGGCACTGTTGTTCCTCCTAGGAACACTTGAAGATCCGGCTGGGGGAAAATGAGCCCAAACGGTTCCTAGGTACTCCTGGGTGTTCTAGTAATATATTAAGAAACACACACACACACACACACACACACACACACACACACACACACACACACACACACACACACACACACACACACACACACAGGGGGGCCTGGTAGCCTAGTGGAGAGCGCGCAGGACTCGTAATTCTGTGGCGCGGGTTCGATTCCCACACGAAGCAGAAACAAATGGGCAAAGTTTCTTTCACCCTGAATACCCCTGTTACCTAGCAGTAAATAGGTCCCTGGGAGTTAGTCAGCTGACACGGGCTGCTTCCTGGGGGGTGTGTGTGTGTGTGTGTGGTGTGGGAAAAAAAAGTAGTTAGTAAACAGTTGATTGACAGTTGAGAGGTGGGCCGAAAGAGCAAAGCTCAACCCCCGCAAACACAGCTAGGTGAATACACACACACACACACACACACACACACACACACACACACACACACACACACACATACACACACACACACACACACACACACACACACACACACACACACACACACACACACACACACAAACACACACACACACACACACACACACAAACACACACACACACACACACACACACACACACACACACACACACACACACACACACACACACACACACACACACAAACACACACACACACACACACACACACACACACACACACACACACACACACCCACACACACACACAAACACACACACACACACACACACACACACACACACACAACACACACACACACACACAAACACACCCACACACACACACACACCACACACACACACACACACACACACACACACACCCACACCCACACACACACAAACACACACACACACACACACCACACACACACACACACACACACACACACACACACACACACACACACACACACGATAACATAAAGTGCAGCTTCTGGATCAACAATAATCCAATTATTATCTCGGTAAACTGGTTATCAGTTAGTCTTATTCCCTTCATAAACCTCCTGATTAGCTGTGGAAATGAAAAATGAATTATGATGCTAATAATATCCCAGCTAGAGGAGATGAAGTGAGGCTGCGATGATGTTCATGATCAGGAGGCTGTGGTTCATCTTACTCATCTCCTGTTAGTAACTCTCCCTTCCTGCAGATCTATCTCACCTCCTGCAGGTCGGCGTTCGATCCCCGACTGTCCAAGGGATTGGGCACCATTCCATCCCCTCCTCCCTCCGTCCCATCCCAAATCCTTATCCTGATTCCTTTTCCTAGTGCTATATAGTTTTAATGGCTTGGTGCTTTCTCCCTGATAATTCTCTCTCTCCCTTCCTCTGCTTATCAATTCTTCCTATTCTTTCTTCTGATCTCCCTCCCTTTCTACCCTTCTTGACCCCCTCTTTTCCTTATAGTACCTTTTTCTATCTATCTTATCCTCGCTCTTTTCCATCTCTCTATCCCGGTATTTCCTCTCCTGCTTTCTCCTGTCCTTTCGTGACTCCCTCTCTCCCTCTCTTTCTCTCTTTCTCATCCACCTTTTCTCTCTTCCACATTTTCTCTTCTTCTGCAACACACAGGTACAAGCACTGAGCACCGTTACTGTGCAACACACAGGTACAAGCACTGTGCACAGCTACAAGCACTGTGCACCGTTACTGTGCAACACACAGGTACAAGCACTGAGCACAGGTACAAGCACTGTGCACCGTTACTGTGTAACACACAGCTACAAGCACTGAGCACAGTTACTGTGCAACATACAGCTACAAGCACTGAGCACAGTTACTGTGCAACACACAGCTACAAGCACTGAGCACAGTTACTGTGCAACACACAGCTACAAGCACTGAGCACCGTAACTGAGCAACACACAGGTACAAGCACTGTGCACAGTTACTGAGCACAGGTGCACACATTATCGAGATAACATCACCTTAAGCAGGGAATACATTAGCTATCCAGACTCCCAAACCTAACACATGCTGCCAGCTCAACTAATTCTCTAGAGTCCTGAGGCTCGAGGCTAGTATACATATATACATATATACACAGCAACTGTGTCCCTCTATTTGTGTTTAGCTGTTTAAGCTTGCAAGGTTGAGTTGCAGCTGCTGGGGCCACGACTTTCAAGCTGTGTCGTTGTACCAGACAAATTTCTTGGGATTGATTGAGCAATCTTCGTAAGGAATTGATACATTATCTTCCATATATCTTTCAATGTGATCTAATACCCTCGAATTCGATATATGGAGCATTCACTGATATGTATATGGTCAATGATATCCGGATAAAAGAATATAATTTATATAGATGTTATAGAGTAAATAGATCACATAGAAGAGTATGTATGTTTATTAAAAAGGAACTTGTATGTATAGAGCTCTCAAGCTCTATATACGAGGACGTAGAAATACTTGGAACAAAAGGACAGAACATGAACCTCGTTATCGTTCTAATAAAACTTATGTTATCTCGATTGATGAACACACAGAACAAATGAACAAAATTGAGAATTGTTAAGATAATCAATTAAACCCAGTACCGGATATTACCTTCCTTGGAGACTTCAGACTTCTCGGTTTAAGATAATGTCAAACAATAAAATTATTACAGGAATCAACCTGAAAAGCATCAATTACAGGTCAGAGAATTACATAGATTCTGTAACATGTTTCCCCTCAGCCAACAGATAACAGAGTCAACTTGGAACTAAAATACTTTAGAGTTTTCTAATAATTCTAGTTGTCTCTATTGGTCTAGTAACTCAAGTTATCTTTCTATTCGTCTAGTAACTCAAGTTATCTTTCTATTGGTCTAGTAACTCAAGTTATCTCTCCATTTGTCTAATAACTCAAGTTATCTCTCTCCATTTGTCTAATAACTCAAGTTATCTTTCTATTGGTCTAGTAACTCAAGTTATCTTTCTATTGGTCTAGTAACTCAAGTTATCTTTCTATTGGTCTAGTAACTCAAGTTATCTTTCTATTTGTCTAGTAACTCAAGTTATCTCTCTCCATTTGTCTAATAACTCAAGTTATCTTTCTATTGGTCTAGTAACTCAAGTTAATTCTCTCCATTTGTCTAATAACTCAAGTTATCTCTCGGATCGTTAAGTAAATCAAGTTATTTGTCAATGTAATGGATTGTTTCTTCAAAAATGATCTCTTCCCCATTCCTTCCATTCCTCTTCCATATTCAGTCGTTCAGACAAAGATGAAAATTACTGCCGAAGACATGGGTTGTTGAGCCTTAATGAGACTTGGTCGTTCAATGGCCTTTTTCCATCTCATGTTACGGAACAGATTGGGTATTGATGCAAGACGTGTCCTCACGGGCGTTCAAAACGTCACTAAACTGATGCGTTAAATAGCCCGAACCTAACCTAACCGATGACCAACATACAGAAAACGGGACATCACGTCAATTTTTAGGGGGACTTAGAGGTCAAAATGGGCATTTTGACGTATAGTCAGCCCATTTTGACCTACTGTACTATTCAAGAGGGCGGATTGAGCTCAGACTTGTAGTCCAAAGGTCTTCTCTGACCTATGATGTGACCTCTGAATAATGATGTGACCTCTGATTTGAAATGAATATTTTCTGAAAATTTTGAATATTTAAATATTACCTGACCTCTGACATAAACTCGAAATCATATTTTTTTTTCTTCCTATAAATACCTCGAGTCATTTGAACCACAAGATTCAGAAATATCATTCCAAACAGTTGGACTGACCGGCTGAGTGACAGACTTGCATGTTGCAGGGACGGCGTTCGATCCCAGACGGTCCAAGAGGTTGGACAACGTTCCCATCCTCATATCCCAGCTGCTTGTCCTCATATTCCAGCTGCTTGTCCTCATATCCCAGCTGCTTGTCCTCATATCCCAGCTGCTTTGTCCTCATATCCCAGCTCCTTGTCCTCATATCCCAGCTGCTTTGTCCTCATATCCCAGCTGCTTGTCCTCATATCCCAGCTACTTGTCCTCATATCCCAGCTGCTTGTCCTCATATCCAGCTGCTTTGTCCTCATATCCCAGCTACTTGTCCTCATATCCCAGCTGCTTGTCCTCATATCCCAGCTGCTTGTCCTCATATCCCAGCTGCTTGTCCTCATATCCCAGCTGCTTGTCCTCATATCCCAGCTGCTTGTCCTCATATCCCAGCTCTTCAACTTTCTCTTGAATTTTGGCGACCCGGACCAACCTATGTCAGTCCCATACCTCAGACCATTCCCTCTGCAAAGCTGGATAGAGCTTGTACCAAGCGTCTCATGGCCCTCCAGCCTTGAACTGACAGACACTCCCTCATATATACACACTGGCTAGCCGTTGTCTAGTAATTATCTAACATTTCTAAAATAATAGTTGGTTGTGAGTGGGTTTTACAGCTCATAACCCAAACACATTACACGTGAAGGGATGATGTTATAAATTACAACTTTAAAACACAATTTTACTGGATTATGTATATATATACATAAATATATGCAATGCTTTTGTATATTTAATGATTAATTCAAAAGTTTTAATATACCTTTTTAATTTCATTCAGGATCTATTTGTTAATTAATTTCAAAATATTGCGCTTTCAGTTGTATTATTTCCTGTGTATTTTAGTATTTAAATATTTAATTGTTAATGTGACAGAGGGAATATATACTGAGATGTGTAACCCCATTTCTCAGTGTGTATATATATACACTATGAGTATAATTTAGTTCAGGACTAAACTATACTTGCTGGTTGACCAGTAAACTTAAACTCTTGTGGTGATTATAATAACCCTCCAGAGGTTGATAGGTCTTAATAACCCTCCAGAAGTTGATAGGTCTTAATAACCCTCCAGAGGTTGATAGGTCTTAGTAACCCTCCAGAGGTTGATAGGTCTTAATAACCCTCCAGAGGTTGATAGGTCTTAATAACCCTCCAGAAGTTGATAGGTCTTAATAACCCTCCAGAGGTTGATAGGTCTTAGTAACCCTTCAGAAATCAACAGGCCTTAAATCTAATGCCAAACTTATTTGAGAAAAAACTATCTATCTATCTATATATATATATATATATATATATATATATATATATATATATATATATATATATATATATATATATATATATATATACACATAACCCCACAACAGTTGATTAACTCCCGGGTACCTATTTACTGCTAGGTGAACAGAGGCAATAGGTGAAAAGACGCGTACCAAACCATGTCTTTCCCTCCCGGGGATCGAACGTGGGATTCCCGATTGTGAGTTGAGAGTTGAAAATTGACCCCCTGATCAAATTACTGTCTGCTTCCTGAGCATAGCAACATGGATTGTTTCACATTTCATAACTTATTTGCATAATATATTTAACCCAGGTGAGTGAGTGTTATTAGGGCTGAACACTCGTTATGAAACAGGGCATTGGAACACACAGAGATCACACTAACATGATGCATCAAATACTCGAATCCGTGACGAGGATTCGAACCTGCGTCAGTGTCTGGCATTAAGGCAGTGTCTGGGATGCTCCGGGACGCAGGTTCGAATCCTCGTCACGGCCCATGTGGATTTGTTCAGGGCACTGGAAGGCCAATAGATCAGTTGTTTTATCTGACTATTTGTTCTAGTATTCACCTCTCTTCAAATTCAGACCTACCAATATTTTCTTAATATTTTCTCTTATATTTCTTCAACAAAATGTGTGAATTAAAATTCCTGTGACTGGATGTGATTCAGAAATAACCTATGACCTTGTTTGACCTTCAGTGCCCCCGAAGAAGATCAGGGTGGTGAGCGAGGCGGACCTTGAGGTCAGTGGGGTCATTGGTCCTTATCAAGTCGGCGCCTCCGCTACCCTACACTGCAAGGTGGATCACGGTGAGTACCAAGGCGGTGACAACAACTCAAGACGTTCAAGTGTCTAGTTTTTTGATGGTCATGCCGGAGAAGGATTATGTAAATTATATCATAATTATATCAATCAGTTCCTCAGGTAAGGCTTCAAATGAGCAGAGCGACCGGTCTCGTTTCATGCAGGTCGGCGTTCAATTCCCGACAGTTCCAAAGTGGTTAGACACCATTCCTTCCCTCCGTCCCATCCCAAATCCTTATCCTGACCCCTTCCCAGTGTTAAATAGTCGTAATGGATCCCATACCCACCACCGCCCACGGGATGGGTATGGGGTCCACCCCCGCCCACAGGATGGGTATGGGGTCCACCACTGCCCACGGGATGGGTATGGGGTCCACCACTGCCCACGGGATGGGTATGGGGTCCACCACTGCCCACGGGATGGGTATGGGGTCCACCACTCCCCACGGGATGGGTATGGGGTCCACCACCGCCCACGGGATGGGTATGGGGTCCACCACCGCCCACGGGATGGGTGTGGGGTCCACCACCGCCCAGGGGATGGGTATGGGGTCCACCATACCGATCCCAGCCACGAGAGAGAGAGAGAGAGAGAGAGAGAGAGAGAGAGAGAGAGAGAGAGAGAGAGAGAGAGAGAGAGAGAGAGAGAGAGAGAGAGAGAGAGAGAGAGAGAGAGAGAAAGAGAGAGAGAAAGAGAGAGAGAAAAGAGAGAGAGAGAGGAGAGAGAGAGAAGAGAGAGAGAGAGAGAGAGAGAGAGAGAGAGAGAGAGAGAGAGAGAGAGAGAGAGAGACAGACAGAGAGAGAGAAGTAAACAAAGAAACCATTAACACCAATAACAAAGGCAATACTGCTCCATTTGGAGCAAAAGGCTCCAAATTCGTGCTTTTCTGTGTAATCCTCTTTAGTCCGTCCGGTGTTTAAGTCGACCTCCAGCGATACTGCCGCTCCCTCACTCTCCCTCACTCTCCCTCACACACTCCCTCACTCTCCCTCACACACTCCCTCACTCTCCCTCACACTCTCCCTCACACACTCCCTCACTCTCCCTCACACTCTCCCTCACACACTCCCTCACTCTCCCTCACACACTCCCTCACTCTCCCTCACTCTCCCTCACACTCTCCCTCACACACTCCCTCACTCTCCCTCACGCACTCCCTCACTCTCACAGTGGTACAGGTCGACCTTCACTTCTACTTCTCCCTTATCTCAATGAATCGAGCGACTGACATTACTCATCAACCTCAACTAGACCCAACACACACACCAACAGGCAGCGTGATCAGTCAGATGAATTTTCCCCTAAACGATAGATTAGTTCTCAACCCATTTTTAAACTCCCGAAGGCTTGTGATAGATGCGAACAAGTGTCATTGAAATTAGACTTTGAGACTTCACACATTGCTGACTTTTTTTTACTCTTCAGTTTACTGTTTTAAATTAGATTTAGATTAGATTTAGAGTGTTTTAAATTAGATTTAGATTGTTTTAAATTAGATTTAGAGTGTTTTAAATTAGATTTAGAGTGTTTTAAATTAGATTTAGAGTGTTTTAGTTTTCGAGGTTCGTGTAGGTGTTATTGAAGATTTCCAGAAGGTGTAGTTATGATCCTGGGCTCTATTGTGCTCTGGGGAGGAGGTCTCTGTCTGTGTTTGAGTCTGCGTCTCTGTCTGCGTCTCCGTCTGCGTCTCTGTCTGCGTCTCTGTCTGCGTCTCTGTCTGCGTCTCTGTCTGCGTCTCTGTCTGCGTCTCCGTCTGCGTCTCTGTCTGCGTCTCTGTCTGCGTCTCTGTCTGCGTCTCTGTCTGCGTCTCTGTCTGCGTCTGCGTCTGTGTTTCCATTCTTAGCTCCGTCTCCAACAGATAGAGATCGAGAGGAAGAGAGAAAGATGTACAGAGCCGAAGGGAAAGAGAATCCCCCTTTCCCCTTGTTTTGACAACTGTTCCACTGAGGGGAGAGATGGAGGAGGTTTTAAGGAAGGGGGACGAGGAGGGTGTGTAACTGCTGAGAATGGGAGGGGTGGGAGGGGAATTGCTAATTATGGAACGGGTACTTGCTGGGAATAAGAGAAGCTATAAGTATACCTTAGTATACTTAGCTTCTAAGTGTACATACACTAAAAGTATACCATAGTCGTACCTAAACTATACCTACCGACCAGTCAGTACGCTAGACAAGAGGAGGAGGCTTTAATAACCCTCTAGAGGCTGATAGGCCTAAATAACCCATCAGAACGCCCGTAGGGAAACCAAGGGATACCACAAGGGTAAACTTATAGAGGGTTTATAGCAGAGGGGAGAGAGTGTCGAGGGGTCAGTCACTACCTTGGTTTTTAGTCCATCCGCCCGAGCTAAACTTAGAATGTAAACAAACAAACTACTCTAAGCATCAACAAACACAACAAATACACAGTTACTCGATGTTTCAATATACAAAATTAATCGCCACCTGATCAACTACGTGTATATGAAAGATGATCATGACTCGTGTGTATTATACAACCAAATGTTGTAAATCTTTTCAATGGTTTGGTGTCACACACACACGTACACACACGTACACACACGTACGCGCACACACACACGTACGCGCACACACACACGTACGCGCACACACACACGTACGCGCACACACACACGTACACACACACACACACACACACACACGTACGCGCACACACACACGTACGCGCACACACACACGTACGCGCACACACACACGTACGCGCACACACACACGTACGCGCACACACACACACACACACAACACACACACACACACACACGTACGCGCACACACACACGTACGC